CGGAAAGTGAGTGGTGTAAATCAGGTGTCGGTTCCGCCTCCGTCCCTCCAGCTTCTCCGAGTGACCGCCGCCCAGCGAGAAGGCCTCCCGCGGACTGTCCGGGTTGTCCATGTCGGCGTTGGTCGACTTGATGTGCTGCACCAGCTTGTCCAAGTCGTCGTCAATGTCCAGCTTGTCGTCGTCGTAGTGTTCGGGACGCGCGAAGGCGGCCGCCGACTGGGCCGGACTGGCCGGGTTGGTGCGCAGCTCGCCGCGCGAGATGAGGGTTCGTAGGTACTGGTCGTGTGAAAACACGTCGTGTCGGGTCAGCTCCAGAAAGAGCAGCACCAGACTGGCGAACGCCGGCCGGCTGCGGCCGCCCAGACCCACCGAGTCCAGCACCGGCGCCGACGTGTCCAGGAAGCGGAACAGCAGGCTCTGGTAGATGTAGGCCGGGTACGAGCCCGAGCACACCGACTCGCGGTCGTCGCCGTCGCCCTCGGACGCTGTCAGCTCGGCCTGGCGTTTCTCCAGCAGCATGGCCACCGCTGGCGCTCGGTGCTCGCCCAGCCGCTGCGCCGACACGGCCCACTCGCACAGCAGCTGAACGATCGCGTCGTCCGACGGCGCGCCCTCGGACGCGTCCCGGCTCGCCGGCGGAAAGATGCGCGCGTACAGCGTGTCGAAACTGTTGGCGTCGTCGGCGCGGTGCCACTTGTGCTGGTCGAGCGCGTCCAGGGCGGCCAGCACGCGGCCCACCGTCAGCTCGGTGGCCGTCTGTACGGACCAGCGCAGGTCCGAGGCGCGGCTGCGCTCCAGCACGTCGTCCTCGACCCGGCGCAGTCGCTGGCGCCACTCGGCGTTGGCGGCGCTCGGCGGCAGCGGCAGGCCCGACGGCAGGCACGGCAGCAGGTCCAGCGGCGAGCCGCCCAGCGGAGAGCTGCTCGGCGGTGCGCCCTTGCCGTCGCCCAGACAGTTCCACACCAGCGCCGTCGGGTTCTTGTAGAGGATCGTCTGCAGCACCGAGCTCAGGCCGTACACGATGCTCTCGTAGAAGTTGCAGTTGACCAGTCGGATGAAGGCGGCCACCAGCGGGTTGCTGTGCACGGGCTGCGCCGGCGGCAGCGGCGGAGCGCCGCCCTCCGCGCCCAACACCGGGCTCTGCGGCCGCCCTTCGGACGCCTCCATCTCGGCGATCATGTAGTTGAGCTTCTTGCACGAGTAGTAGGCCAGCTTGCGCGCCAGCAGCTCGGAGCGCGTGAACTCGCTGACGTACTGCAGCAGCAGCGGCACCACCAGCTTCAGCAGGCCGTCGTCGTGGGCGCGCGCCCGGAACACGTCCAGCACCCACTCGAGGAACGTCTCTCGGTCGAGCAGGCCCTGCTCGTACATGACGCCGGCCAGCTGCGTGCCGTACTGCCACTGGCGCAGCGCCACCTTCTGCTCCTCGGACGAGCCGCCGCCCAGCGGCGAGAAGCCCGACACGGGCGGCGTCCACGAGTAGTGCTCCTCCAGGCGCGCCAGCTGCTCCTTCAGGAACCGCTCCAACGTGTGCGTCCACTCCTGGGTCTGGTCGGGCAGCTGCCGCTTCGACTTGTTCTTCGTCTCGGCCACGGCCATGTAGTACGCCGACGACATCTTGATGAGCCAGCAGGCGCGCACCGTCGGCACCGAGTAGTCGCACAGCTTGCTCAGAATCTCGTCCTTCTTGTTGAAGATGGGCACCTTCTTGGCCAGCACTGTCAGCGGTTTGTTGCCCACCAGGTCCTTCAGCCATATCTCAGCCGCCTTGGGCCTGGTGGGTACTGGCCAGTAGTTGTCTCGGTGGGAGATTGGCTGTTTCTTTTTACCAGTCTCCGGGAGTGTGTTGATCTCGATCTTCTTCAACAGCACCGCCGAGAAGTTCTCCAGCATCTGGGGAAATAGAAACATAAATAATTAGGTAGTGGTTACACCAGCTTAATTATGTTAATAACAAATAGATCAATTTAGTAAGTCATTATTGCCTGAAGTGGAGTTAACATTCCACTGCCCTTTCACCAGAGTGACTGTGCCACGGACGTCACAGGGTGTGATCATTAAATGCAGTAAGCTACTGAGGTGGCTAGTATAACTTGATATACCTAGGGGAATCGTACCTCAGTTGAGAGGGTAAGAAGCTGGGCAAAATGAGTCATCCATTGCCCATCCTGTCTTTTTTCTATTTAGAGAGACATTTCTGCTAACTTGTGTTTTGCACTTCTAGGTGGTAAAACCTGTTGTAACTGCTATGGATATATGTAAAATCTTGACCTAAAAAGTTGATCAAATGGTGAGTTTACAGGAAGCCAGTCTAGGCTGTAAGCCAGACCGAGACTACCAAAAAGAAACCTCCTATTTCAGTTTTTTATTTGAAGTTCCCTGACATGGAACTTAGAGAAAAGTTTGTCAGCATATGACAAGAAAGGTTATAATGTTAAGTTTATATCATGCTGGTACCAAAATCAGACAGGTATCATGGAAGCAGGCACAAAGAGGGCAGTATGACAGACTTATGATGACCAGTTCCCCATAGGTAAAATGCTGTTTGAAAAGGGATAAAACTATGAATGAATATCAGCATATAATTAGGTACCAGACCAGGGGTCATTTGAGCCACATATTCTTAGCCATACCTCACACCTGCCAGGCCCATGTCAGTTCAAGTTCTCTGGCACAATAAGCCATAAGCAAAATGGTGAATGTGAGAGGCCAGCATGTGCTCTTTGCCAGGAATCTGGACTGCTCTCCTCTGGCATGTGGGTATCATCAGCCCAATGTTAATTGAGCCTTGGGCTGTATAGGCAGACAGGAACACTTCTGGGCTGGGAGAGACTGCTGGCCTGCTGGGAGCACACCAGAGCCATTGTACCTGTTCCACTCTCCAGGATGCTTTGGTATTCTTAGGAGTCATGGTGCAAAAAGTAATAAGCTATTCATCATCAGATGAGTCATTTCTCACTCATCACTGGTTTAGTGTGAATGATGATTAATGATCAGAGGTTTAGGATTAATAACAAAAAAAGAAAAGCATAGACAAATCAACATGAACATTGTTTGTTTTTACTAGCATGCCTACTGATAATGCTTTGATATCAATATATTAATATTTTACCTTGCTGGAATTGATGTTGAAGCTTCTTGCAGAGCCATACTCATCAGAAGTGCAGGGTGATGCATTGAAGCCTTGTTTCACACTGACTGAGGTCAGTTCATCCTGAAAAGAACAAATATGTAAGGCATTGATGCATGTCAATATTATATGATAAAAATAACAAGCATTCTCTATCAAGCTGCAACTTAAAATAATATCTAGATCCAGCAAAGCACAAGTGAATAGCCAATTGGAACTTGGAACAGAATGAATATTGAAAGTGAGAATCATGACAATTCAAAGCATGGTGCCTAAGTAAAATGAAAGCAGTGTTAGCCAAAACAGTAAAAAAAGTAAACCATTCAATATTTGATTCCATACATACCTCTTTCTGGTTTGGCACTTGAGGATATACATCTGGAGGGCCAAGTTTTGATTTCCGAAGAGGCTTATCTTCACAATTAACAATGTATGCCATTTTCTATGAGCAATATGGCATCAAATAGGTATTTTAATATCTGTCTTTGATTAAGCACTCAACAGTCTCAGTCTTCAATGACCACATTAAGAACATTGCACCAAGGACATGACATAAAAGCAACCATGTTCAATCCCATCACACCTCAACCTAGGTAGGTCCAAGAAGATAAATATCATGTGGCGTTACAATAGATTGCTGCCATCAAGGTGTGAACACTTTTGGGAGTTGAAAAAACAATTAATGAAATAGTATTAGACATTGAAATTGCATTTTATCATTTAAGTGTTCCAGAATCTCAAGAAATATCCCAAACAATATACTTAAGAGGTTTCCAAGAAAAGGTGCACTATTAACATGATGACATCACAAAAACCATTAACCAAACACATTACAATTTACAAGTATGCTATAGTGACTCAGACTATGACTACGGCCTGCCTTGGTCTTTTTCATCTTTTTCTTTTTTTCATCATCATTTTTTGCATGATAATTGACAAGTTTTCTAAAAAATACTTTTTCATGATTCGTATTCAACCCCTGTTTCAGTTAAAACTGCAGGGTGTAACACTTTCAGATGCCAGCAGGGGACAAAAAAGAATAGAAAATCATCTGAAACTGATAGCAATAGGTTATTATTCAACCAATGACCGGCTACTTCAGCAGTTGCGATAGCTAACCAAAATTGCATGGACATTTCCGGGTCTTAGAGTCACTACAAGTTCCAGAAAAAACGCGATAACCCGAATAACATCGGATTATTGCGAAAACACATTCACGAGATTCAACTTGAACATAAGAACACACACCCCATCTCATCTGGAAGCACCTCAGACTTTTCAAGCTACCATATTCGGAAAGGAGATTCCTTTACGCTACACATTTCTTTATCGCACAGCATTACTTATAAGACTTTCATAATGGGTTCGCGCGACATTCAAATTTCAAACTTCAATGCATAGAAAGTTGGGAATAGGTAGGTAAACAGAATAAAAAGAGATTAAATATGATTAGCAGCACATCATGATTCGTTTTCACACTCACAATCAGCATCGCTACTTGTGCTAAGCTTTTGGGTTTTGCCGACTCCAAATAACAAATTCATAGCATAGCTTAAAATTATCCCGATGTCACATGTGAGTAGTTTTTTTTTTTAAATGCCTGGCATAATCGATGATGTATGAGCGAAAGGTGCAAGTTTCTCATACACTCGTCAAAGGTCGTGGTCCGTGGCACAAAGAGTGAGTCCCTTCGCTGAGGTCGCACGTGAAAAGTGCGAAATGTGAATGTGATAACGGAACTACATATAAAGGATCGCTGGGTCCGCTTTTTATGAAATGAAGCCCTAGATAATTCCAACTACAAGATCGCTTGACCAGAACCGCACAAAAATCAATATAAAACCCCGCGAATCAAGGCCAAAACAGTAACTTCACACTTTTCCGGAATAGTTTATTGATCTCCAAGAAGGACCGAGGACACACTGGCACTTATTTATAGCACACACCGCATTGCGTTGCAAACCGATAGTGCACATCAGGACACATAAGCTACCCCAGGAACCACACCATGGCCATCATATAGCATAAATTTCATACGCTGCATTTAGTTACAACGTACCTACGTTACAATTACCACACAATAATTGTAATACCAACTACAGTCCACACTCCTTATTACCACTGGCGCTCGCTCAGTGGGGTAGCCCGGAGAAGCAGTCGCAGCCCCCGATATCACAGCTCAGTGTCCGTCCCCCCGGACGCACTCACCGTTACGGTCCCCGGCGGGCGGCCAACAGAGAGGCGGACTGGCGTCTGGCGTCACCCACAACGCCCTCTGCGGCCAGTGGAAGCGGATTCCCTTATCCGGATAAGTCGAAGCAAACCACAACAAATGTCAGATCACACAAGTCATTTCGCCGCCGCAAAAAAAAATCGAGCCCGAAAGAAACTCGATACCCCACCCTCCGGAATTTTTGGACAGCGGCGAGAAGAGTGTTGGCCGGTGCTTCAGAGCAGTTTGAACGAGCCAGTGACCTGATCGACGATGACGTCCTCGCCAAACACCCCGACCACGGTCCGGGAGCCCTCGGGCACCTGAAAACACAACGCTGCTGTCAAATCTGTCAGCGGGTCGAAACTCTAAAATCAATATTATTTACTTCCCGATATCGGAGGAATGATCAGCGGACGATCGCACCGATAAAACAACACAGAAAATAACAATATCAATTAATGTTTTTTTTTCCAAAAATCAGAAACGGTACCGACTACCAAAAGCGGCATATATGTAACACACCAGCGCGAGACGAGCTCCACAGTGCGCAGTTGACCAAGTAATATTTCATAACGCGAGATTTAACTGAAGATAAAATGTTATACCTGCAAACTATTTCAGAAACCCTTCTACTTATTTGCTCACTAACCTGCGTATGTCCAGCATCCTCCACAATCCATGCCAACAGGCCCAGATCAATGGCTTTAGCATAAGCCGAGAGCAGGTCCTCCGTCGTGTCCGCCTTCAACACGATCTTCTTCTCACTAAAAGAGAGGAAAATAATATGCCAACCACCTGTGTCGCCTAAGTTTCAATCAAAATGTTTCCTGAAAGACTCAGAGAACATAACAAAACAAAACATAAACATAAAAAACGTTGAAATATCTATGTCTAGAAAGAAGAATAGACCAAGAGCATCAATCTCTGCCTTTGGACAGTGAACACTCACCCTTCCTCTTCCCAATCTTCAGCAGCCTCGGCAAACTTCTCATTGGCCAGCATCAGCCTGTGCAGGTTGATGGCTGCGTGACCCACCTGGAAAAAGGTAAGACTGGGTTATGGTGGGTATGGTGGGTAAATGTTTTACAAGGAGTACAAGCCGATGATGTAAAACATATTTATGATGAAAACATGCGACGTAAGTTTTTTTTTTGCTTAGTACTGCTTTTTTGCTTTTTTTTTTACTTATTCACTTAGTAATTGCAGGACCAGGAGGGTCATTGGATGTAACTAATATATCGTATAAAACGAGTAATTTATAAGTACACGAGAATGTCAGGATAAATAGGTGCTCGATGACTATAGAGTTTTAAAGGGACCCTCCCGCCTTCAAAAAAGTAAATGAATTAGAATAAAAGTGATGTCCCGTGGTTCAGAAAGATCAAAAATAAATATCTACAGAATTTCACCGAAACACATTCACTGGTTTTCAAGATATGAGACTTTTACTTATGTTTACTTTTTGGTACCTCTTCTGACATTCCTACGACGTAATTTGGAAGCAATAATTTGACATCCTAAAAGTGCGGCAGATGTGGCACGCAAAGCTTCATATACCACCACGTTTTACCGATGGTTTTAGTATCAAGAAAAACGTTAGACCTGCGCTGACGTCACAAATTCTAAGGGGGTATTCAAATGCATTAACCCCTAAAAATCTGAAAACTGCAAGTTTGAAATTAAATACGCGTAACTCCTAATTAAAGCCATTCTCGATGTTGTGAGTGCCCAAACCGGTAAGTGCAAGCCAAGGATCCCAATTTGGCTATCTCAACTCAAAACTAATGGTAAGGGGGATGGTCACTTTAAAAGCGCATCGTCAATAATTAATAAATATCACCGATGAACCGGACGCGAGCAAGGTCGGGTGATGGGTCACTGGTCAGCGGGGTCACTCGCAACAAGGGCCTTGTTCGCAACAAGCACTACTTAGCGGAGTACCTGGGCCCACAGCCCACAGCCACCAATCGCACACAATTAAAAAATAAAAACACTTTGGTTCATCGTCGAAATCTTCGTTTTTTACACTAAATGTCCTCAACCATGTTTGCAGATGGGACAAAGTCTCCACTCTCCAGCTGATCAAGCAGCTGATATTGGACTGCACGGTGCACCTGACTCACCGACTATAAACCGTGATCGCACACGAAGCGGGCGGTATTAGCGCCCGGAATTAGTAAGCAGAGCGGTGTCACCTGATCGTTTATCGCCGACAGTTGCTGGCTCGTAAGGTGGCTCAGCTTTTGCTATCGGGGTATCGAGTTAGGATGGTGGTGCGACCCCACTAATCAACTTATCATGTGGAAGGAAAATGCGCTATGATATCAACATCACGAAAAATTCCATGGAAAAACGAATCATAACTGTAGTGAATTGCTATGCAAAGTGACGCAAGACAAACGCCAGCGTCCGTGGTTCTCCAAGCTCGGACTGAGAGCCCATCGAGAACGCGTGCCGACACTCATCCTCAGTCCCTCGGCTCCCTTTGGTCTGGCTGGCTGGCTGGCTTCATTTCTCACCCTCTGTAAGCTCAACCTTACGGCGATCCTTGCCGATACAATACGAAACACAATCAGATTTTCACTCTGATTGATCCCACCTAGTAGGTATGTGCGCAGGAGAAGGAGGTGCAAGAGGTAGATGCTCGTTTATTCAAAGGCAGGCCACTGCAATACCAACAGGATTTTCCCTGTTGTTGACCCGGCCCACCGGAAGGACTGCACCTGAACTGGTCATCAGCCTCCAAATACAGCTAACCTCCCGCAGTCCATTCAATGTCTTTTTTAAGATGCTCACCTGAGCTGCAATCTTGCCGACACCCATTCCCAGACCGGCGTTGATGACAAACACCATCTTGTAGTTGTGCTCTTCACCATCGTCATCACTGTCTTCGCTCAGTTCAGGAAAGAACGGGGCATTCACCTCGTTTGAAGGCTGCTCAAAGATGTAGGCAGCGGCTGCCTGCACTGACTCATTGTCAGTATGATACAGACCCTGAAAATGATAAGACATGATTAAACAAACATTCCTTCTGTCATGACTAAGCAAACCTGAAGGCGGCGTCCAAATATTGTATTTTGGTTTGGGTGTCAGAAGGAAATTCCTGTCCAAAAAAGGGAATACGATTGATAAATTGTTCGCCAGATAAGGCCCAAGAGGAGTGAAAAAGGGTTCGATAGCAGATATTTATATCCAAGTGCAGTAAAATGTAGGACGTAAAACGATCACCCACGAAAAAGCTTTTTATCGGTAAAATTGGGAGTGGAAAATATGATGAAGTTACGAGCGAACGAGCGAAGGGAAGTCTTCTCAGTATAAAGGAAAAATCTCAGTATAAGCGGCCAGACCCGGCCCGGCATGCAACGCTTTTGGGAGGCTTGTAACTCAGCAACCGCTGGGCCGATTGACATGCGGCCTTTTTTGTTGGGCAGCCTCATTCCTTCTCCCCCATTGATGCCTATTCTTGATGCATTTAGGTGACCGTCGTGGCATGTGCCACGTGAAAAGCCAATGGTGTTCAAGCAGTTTGGGAGGTCTATATCTCGGTAACTGTTTATGTAGGTGATTGACTTGCGGTAATTTTTGTAGAGTAGTTGCATCCCTTCTACCAACAGTATAACGCCTTTTGGGGCGACTAACGGAGCGAGCGAGAGGGTGGGCCTTGCACGTGCGAAATTGCGAGGGAGTACCTCCAACTGACTTGTGCACGGCACCCTACTAACCGGTCAACAATTACAAAACTGACACCTCTTCGTTTTGCACGTGGCACGTGCATAAGGGGTCACTCACATGCATCGGGAATAGTCCAATACTTGGTAGAAGGAATGAAGCTACTCTACAAAAATTACCGCGTGTAAATCGGTCAAGTGGTTGCTGAGATATAAGCCTCGCAAAAGCGTCCGCACGGGCCGCTCATACTCAGACATTTCCGTTAATCTAAGGAAAGACTCCGCTCGCTTCGCTCGCTCCGTAAACATCGGATACTCTCGAATCTCGATGCACGTGGTCACCCCCAGTGCACATGCAAAATACAACAATACGAGGTGCCAAATTCGTTCCTATTACAATTACTCTGAAATTACTGGGGTGATTTCGCTGAAACTTGGCATACAGGTAGGCACCGACTAGGCAATCCATTCCCATGCGTTACGGTTAGGGTGTTGTTACTGCACGTCCACACGTGCTAGGGGTTGTTTCCAGATCTCGAGAACAGCTAGTTTGATCGCGCCCAAATTAGGTAAACAGTTAGGGACCGGTTGAAAGCATGCTGTGCAAAAGTCATTGGACCCAGTTTGAACGTGTGCACATGCAGGGTGCCGAGTTCCAGATCTCGGGAACGGCTGAGTCAATTGCATCCAAATTTGGCACACCGTCAGCAACCGGTTAGTAATGTGTAGTACGAGAGCCAGTTGCAAGTATTCTCTCGCCCTTCCTCATGTGCAGGCCTCAATCTCTCGCTCGCTCGTCCTTCTCCTAAAATGCGATTTACTGGTATTAATTCAATTTTGAGCCTGGGGTTCAAAAGAGTGCTTTCATCATTCATCACTGTTTAAGTTTATTATCTTAAAATATACAAATGAGCATTGAAAGTGATCTTACTCTTTTGGCAGCATTTTCTGATATCCCCATCTCCAACAAAGACAAAAGCATTTGTTCATTTGGCTGCCACGGCTCCCCATCTGATTCACTTTCAAGGCCTGCTTGATTTGGATCTTCGCCAGACATTTTCTGAAAAATGGATTAGCTGTTAATCATGATCATAGTAGAATCAGGACAAATGGGACCTCTGTAAGCACATCAACATGGAAGGCCAGTCACAATGTACAGCCCACCGCTAAAGCAATGTGCGGTTTTACCAATCTCAATGGATGGCTTTGGCCTTTGACTGGCGATTTTTAATACGGGGTGATTGAAAAGAAGATATCAATGGACAAAGTTGCAGCTGCAAGAGTGATGATACATGCAAGCTATATTCAAAGTTTCATTGTAGTCTGGCTAATCATTCCTAAGCTTCAGAAACAGAACATACCTACCCATCACAAAAGCCCATGACTGAAACCGCACATTACTTCTGCCTTGGACTGTACCTACTATGGACGTCAAACCCCTTGGGACCCCACTTTTTGCAATAATTTTTAAATGTGTTAACTTTTATTGACGATATTGTGGCAATGGGTGTTTCAGAACCTGCCGAAACTTTTATTACAAAGGTTTTTGATGCCAAACAATTATGAGAGGTACCTACTTCTCATTTACTCGTAATGTTAAATTTCACGGAACAAATCCCCTGTTTGGGTAGAGGTTATACGCTCATGAGGCAGAGCCACGTAATGAAGTCAGCACTAAGATGCACAGAGATGCAAGTTGCGATAACTGTTCAGCGAGTCCATGCCAAGCTGAAAACACTGAAGATTGATAAATCGCCAGGCCCCGACAACATGCACCCTCGTGTTTTGCACGAACTTGCTGACCAACTTGCGACACCCATCACATCTCTGTTCTGTAAAAGTATTGAAACTGGAGAAGTTCCACGGCAGTGGAAGGTGGCCACCGTCACGCCAATCTTTAAAAAAGGCGACAAAAGTGATCCCCCGAACTACCGACCAGTGTCACTGACATCAATATTATGCAAGATTCTGGAGAGGATCATATGCGAGGACATCATCGCTCATCTGAAGACAAACAATCTTATCGCTCGCCAACAACATGGTTTCATCACAGGGAAATCTACGGTCACAAACCTACTGGAAGCTCTTGATATTTGGACGGAAGCGCTAAGCCACAGCTTACCAGTGGATGTTGTGTTTCTGGACTATGCCAAAGCGTTCGACACTGTGCCCCATGAACGGCTTCTAGCCCAGGTCCAGGCTCTAGGGGTGAATGCAAAGACTCATCAGTGGATAAGGAGTTTTCTAACAGGCAGGCGGCAAAGAGTGAACGTCAATGGATCACTATCAGACTGGGAGTTTGTAACAAGTGGAGTGCCGCAAGGCTCAGTGCTCGGGCCTCTCTTGTTTTCCATGTTTGTCTGTGATGTTCCCGACCTCTTAAATTGTCATATCTCTATGTTTGCGGACGATACCAAGGTCTACCAAGTCATCAACGAGCGCGATGGTGAACTTCACAATCTGCAAGAGGACATCAACTCTTTGCAAGATTGGGCAAAAACAATGCAGATGATCTTTCATCCACTTAAATGCAAGGTCATGCATCTCGGACCAACAAATCCTGGAAGTGAGTATACCATGACAACTATGGGTGGAGGCAAACATACCCTTGAAGCAGTCTGTGAGGAAAAGGACCTGGGAGTCACTATAGACATGAAGCTATCCTTCTCAAAACATGTCACTAACCAGATTAACAAGGCCAATAGAATTCTTGGTGCAATCAAGCATACCTTTGCAAACATTGACAGCGACATTTTCAAAGCCTTGTACAAAAGCATTGTCAGGCCCCACCTCGAGTATGCAACTGTTATATGGAATCCCAAGTTCAAAAAGGACAAAGATGCACTCGAACAGGTGCAGCGGCGGGCAACAAGGCTGGTGAACGGACTGTCTCACCTTTCATATTCAGATCGCCTCAGGAGCCTTAATTTACCTACTCTGGAATTCCGACGGAAACGGTCGGACATCATCGAGACCTTCAAAATTTTGAAAGGCTTCGACAAGGTGGACTTCCAAAGAGAGTGCCCGTGTTGTCACAACAGCATGTTCAAGAACTCTCTCAGCCGTGTCACCCGAGGTCACGATCAAAAACTTCAAGTTCAGCATCAATTGGGACCCAGAAAAGCCTTCTTTGCGGCACGAGTAACTCAGACATGGAACAAGCTGTCAACCCACACCATCGATGCTCCAAATGTCGATGTGTTCAAGTACAGACTGGGGAAGGAATGGAAGGACCACCCTGAAAAGTTCAACTACAAGTTCTCATACTAATGATCATCGTGGCCATCAATGTATGGCCTCACCTAGCATGGCAGCCTACTCGTCTTCGTCAGAAGAAGAGGAGGCATCTCTTGAGTAAAGGGTCTGATTACTCGAAAGGGTACCTAATGACCTTTACTTAAGGTAAATACTTAAGGTAAATACTAAGCTCTGCCCTACCCCTCTGGCGCTCCTTGCCCGGCGTCCAGTCACTCGCAGTCGCATCTCATGCTCCATCCAGGCTTGATTCTCACCTGTTCAACTCACCTGTTGGGTTTCCTTGACTCACCAGTGCATGAGGAGAGGCAGGAAACCGTGTAGGAAAGAGACGCGCCAATTCCCCTGGTTACGCTGGGCGCTGAGAGATGGACCGCAGGGGATTGGGGTAGTGCGTCTGCTTGGAGTTGGGGGAGGAAAAGTTCTAGATGTGATTAGCTATGCGGTATCAGTTCAGTACCGGCTGTCACGGTACTGTTTGATTCGCTCCTTCGCGGAATCTGGAGTGCGCGGCGATGATCAGTAGAACCTTGCAGGAGAGATCAGACGATGTAGTCGAACAAACGATCACCAAGAACCTTCAGGAGTGATGACTTGAACTCGGCGAGGGAAGTAGAGGTGACCGTCGAGTCGGGCAAGGCGTTCCACTCGTTCACGACGCGTTCCGAGAAGAAACGTGATCTCGTGTCCAGTTGGCAGCGCCGGACTGTGATTTTGAGTTGATGACCTCGGGTGCGGCGTTCGGAGGACAATTCCCAGAGATCTGACGGCTTGATGGGACCGGGGCTGTGGAAGATTTTCCAGCATTTGATGAGGTCGGATCGGATCAGTCTGCCCTTCACAGAGAAGAGGTTTAACTGTCTCAGGCGGTCACCGTATTCCATGTTTTGCAGGCCTTTGATGTGACGAGTCCATAGTCGTTGGACCGCCTCGAGTCTTCTGAGGTCATCGATATATCCTGTGTTCCATACAACAGAGGCGTATTCCAGAACTGGACGGATGTGGGTGCGGAGGATGTGCAGCATGAAGTCTGCATCCCTACACAAGGTTGCTTTCAAAAAGCTGTGTGCCACTCCTCCAGCCTTCCTGGCGGCAGCTCTAGCCTGTTCATGGAACCTTAGACTGTCGTCGATGATCACGGCAAGGTCGGAATGCGATTCGGTCCAGGGAAGGGCAGAGTTATTCAGATAGTAACTCGGTCTTGGTGATTTGTGGAATTTCCGTTGGAACCTCATGAGGACGCACTTCTTCGAGTTCAGTGAAAGGCCCCACGATGATGCTGTAGCTTGGAGACGATCGATGTCCGACTGAAGACTTTTGGCGTCGAGATCGGACTTGTTCCCACACATGTATATCTTCAGGTCGTCTGCGAAGATTTTGTAGCGGCTGTGCAAACCGATGGCTATGTGGTTGACGTAGATCAAAAAAAATGGTGGTGGTGGGAGGTAGCTGTTAGCGATAGTGGGCGCTGGTAGATGACATTAAGAGCAGATGGCTCTGGTGGCAGGGCTCGATTGGGCTCGAGTATGGCCGAACGCGGGCCTCTGCCAGCGCCTGAAATTATTTGACCTTAGCATTACGAAAGAATGTGAGGTACCTTTCATGATCATTTGGCGTCAAATAACATTTGTATTAAAGTTTCGGCAGGCTCTGAAATCTGAAACACACATTACCAGAATATCGTCAACGAGAGTTCACGCATTTAAAAATTATCGCAAAAATGAAAAAGTGGGGTCTCAAGGGGTTTGACCGTCCATAGTAGTCAACAACACAGGCGATATTTAAGGCATTTGCCAATCAAAACACACATTTTCAGACATAACGATAGTGAGGAGTTCAATGTTAGAACTCACGAAAAATAAATATATCCCACAGAATGTTACCTGTAAACCGCGCGCTTTGGCTTGCAACGGGAACAAAAGGAACAAAATGATTATCAAACAGCACTTGATCAGCACAATCAGCAAGCATGGTTTTGTTTGCGTCATAATTGAAACAGCTGCGTTCCAATGTAAAAAGAACAAGTCTTTTTGAAGCTTAAAAGGGTAAATTTACGTTTTTTGCTTTTCTTCTAAATTGGGGATATAAATATTTATTGCTTTAAAATTTTGCTTATCATATAATTAATTTGTAGTTGACAAGTGTTTCACAGTGACTATAAATAAAATGTTTCATATTGGTACATATTTCATGTTCTTGAGCTTTCGCTGAAATGCCACTTTTTCCCTGGGTATATTGAATTTGGACTTTTTCCTATTTATGCGCCAGCACAACTGATTTATCTTTTTTCATGCTTTGTTGTTGAGTAAGTTTTACAACTAAGAACTAAGCCAGGACCACTCTGAACCAAACCGCGGCCGGAGGTTTGCTCAGGGGTAAATTGCCCTCGAAAAATTTGCGCCTCACAAAACATCACAAATGTAGGTACGGTGAAAATGGCAGGACAAAAATAGCGTCCACCGTACCTACTACCAATGGAAAATGACTAATTCATGTCAACTTGAACTGGCGAGACGAGACCAGCCTCCAAAGTTCACATGCCATGATATCCTCTTACCGAAAAACCCAATGTCTGGTGGTAGCCCGCTATGTTACTACTAAAAAGAAAAAATCCACAAAATATAGCGGCAATCAGCTGCGTAATCGCGCACATCTGACATATCTGAGACACGATAGGAGGACCCGCAGCTCTCACATCCACTTGTTCCGTAGTTTCGAGTCGTTCGGTTGGTCGCTACACAAACAGACGTGTCGCGCCACACCATCCCGGTTCTGTATTACCGTTTGTACATGCAGCCTGGAGCGGCGGCGGCCGCGCCGCGCCGGGTCGGTCTGCTTTGGTGTCGCGCACGGGGCGGCTCCTTCAGAGTGGGAGCGAGCGCGGAGATAGCACGCGCCAAGCACAACGAGACTCGGCGACACTCTGCGATACAACATAGCTGCCAATGACTGAGAGCGGAGCTGGCCCGACCCGGCGAGCTCCGTGCCGAGGCGCCTATGGAGCGATCCAGGCGACGGCCGGCGGCCGCAGACCGGGGGCCGGCCGCTACTCTGCCCGGTAATTCTGGGAAGGTCTGCCACAGACGGGCCCGCCCCACTCTGGTGATGAGCCGCCGCAAACGGGGCCACAATGAGATCCCGCCGTCGCGAGCGTTCCGGGTGATCGTAGGAACGCTCCTTCATACACTCAGACACACAAAAATACATACCGCAGGACACTCTCACAAGAATGGCAGCTGGCACACTGCACGGTATGCGCTGGCCCGACCAGCACCGGCCAGAGACACAGTGAGCGCGCGCACACATACACACATGAACACACGCAGCGCGAGCGGACAGGCTCTGAGGTGGTCACTTTAGGTAACCTGAGATTATGGTTGTGTGGGCGGCCGCGGCCAACCCTAAGACACTCACTCGCCTGTGTTCGTGCTCGCTTCCAGTCTGCGCGGGCCCGACCTAACACACACGCGCCGTCTCAAAAGAGATGCTCGCAACAGAAACTGAAAAGTATCAGCAAACCAATTAAACACATGAAAAAAGCACAGTAAAGAAACACACGGTATTTAAGAATATTGAATTCAATTCACCAAGAAATATGACGACCAATCTCTCCACGTCCGGTCAGCATTACCCTAACACAAACTCCATTTAAAATGGGATAAAATCGTAAAAAAGCACCGGCATACACACACCAGGCATCTGTCAGAGGCTTTCCACATCTAGTCCACTCTGGCGGCAGCACTGCAGCACAAGCTCAGGTCCGTGTCACTGGCTCACACGGGTGTCACTGGGCCACGGCCGGCGACTTCTTCTCCTGCGAGTCCTGCGGGGTGGGCGTGGAGGTCTGCGGCGGCGGCGGCGGCGGCTGGGAGCGCTCGCCGCTCGTCCAGCTGCCGCCGGAGGTCAGCGGTGACGACGTGTAGTTGTTCTCCTCGGGGGGCGGCGCGCCGCCGGACGCCGAGCCGCCGCCGCCGCCGCCGCCCGAGCCGGCGCCGGCCGCCGCCGCCGCGTCCGTCTGCGCGTTCTCCAGCCGAGTGATAAGCCGCTCGTCCTCGTCGCCAAACTCGCCGCCCATCAGAGACGGCTCCCCGACCACCATCACGTCCTGGCGACACGGACGGCCGGCGTCAGCGGGGCGCTAACGGAACAGGCAGCTGGGGTGGAGCCCCCGCGGCAGGCAGCAGAGGGGTTATAGCTGGGGGAATCCCGCCTGAACCGTCAGAGGGGCGACACCGGAGCAACAGCTTCTGGGGTAAGACACGTCTGGACGACTGTAAGTCTTGTGCTTGGCTGTGTCAGTGGACAGTGGCAATGCATTGAGAAGACACGGTGACTGCCCACTGCCGAAGGGCCAGGCGGGGATAAGATGGGGAAATCCTAAGGGTGATGCAAGAAACAGCTTGCCACATCGGTCCCGTCGGGTAACACAAAGCCCTCTTATCGGGCGGCGTAAGAAGAGCATGTTCACAGGAAGCGGTGGTACGATAACTGAGGCTCGATTAAAAAAAAACATCACATTTAACATGCGGCGAAAAAAAAAAAACACATTGAAAATAAACAAAGACAGCTTTACACAACGTAGAAACATATTGTATTATAAAGTTAGCTAAAAAACTAATGAAGAAAATCTAGCTTATTCTAAGCCTATTGAAAAACAAGTAAAAGAAAGAGAAAACTCCACGACGGCGGCGGCCGGCAGCGCGGCGTCCCGCGCGGGAGCGCTTACACTGACTTGTCCGGAGAGACTGAACGGCGGCCGGCCTTTCTGCTTGCTCTGGGCGGCGCTGCCCCCGCCAGCCGCGCCCTTCCGTTTCCGCCGTTTGCTGGGCGGCCGCTGGTTTTCTGTGTGCACCGGGACCAGAAGGCGGTCACATGTCGCACAACACAAGTACAAATACGGCGGAAGGCATTACTTTACTTTGGGCGAAATAATACACTGTCTCAGCTAATTGCATTCGCGAGCCGTACTCGTCCCTCGTAATCCTTACGAGAAAATACGCCGAAACAAATTGATGAAGCATACAATAAAAAAAAAATGTTCTCAAGCATCGGCTAACCTACTGAAATACATACTTTATAAAATGATTGGAAGTTTAAACTACTTCCTTCACGTTTAAACAAGGCACACAAGTATTTACACACAAAACATACCTGCACAAACCACGCAAAATGACGGAATACATGCAAATAAAAAGTGGATCTAAAATTTACACCCTTCGGTTACAAAGACACGATAGGTAACAAGAGGAAATGAGAGGGAGATGAGAGCTAATAAAAACGAAAATAGAAATTCGATGCGGGGAAGAAAAGGACGATTCTGGCAAGGAACAGTGGCTAAAAGCAGGCATACAAATTACTACTGCCCGATAGGGAAAAGCAGGCAAAATGGGAGGGATGGAACAGCAGGAAGGGCCCACCTAATAATGTGTGGGAGGTGCGCCGCACAGTTAAGTCCAGACAGGAGCGACAGTTCGGAGGAAGTGGTTGGTGGCCTGGGAGAAGGATGGGCTGAGGGCTATATTAACCCGTCACCAGAAGCATCGCCCGCCCGCCCAGCGCGTTACACAGCTCGGTCCGCGGGGAGCAGCAGGGTAGGGGGGGGGGGGAGAGCGAGAGACACCACCCGACGGCGGCCGCTGCACATACCTTCCGGTTTGCTATGGGGGTGATTTGGCCCACCTGAGCGGCAAACACAAAACACCAAATCAATAAAGCGTAACGAAACGCCAACCGAAACCAACGGTCAACAAAAAGCGACTGAACAGAAAAGCAGCGTAAAATAAAACCATCTAGTGGACCGCATATGAATTAAGAATTGTTTTTGCCAATTTCAAGCCCCAACAAAGTTTCAGTTCCCGAAAAAAGACACATTCAAATAATTTTGAACATACTCATGGGTCGAAATGGGGAGTAATGATAAAATGAGATGCAACAAATGTAATGTGATCATAGCTGTTTTTGAGCAATCAATAAAATCGATGTCAAATGATATAGTTTGTGTTGCCCATTTCTGTACAGCTGATTAGTCCCGGAAGCGAAGCATTACCGCAGCCCTGGGCAGCACCGAAACCCTACAGTCAGAATCTCATCAGCTGTCCTACATACGGCCAATTGGTAACTCGTACTTATAGTGGTGCCTCAAGGGCAAACATGGGTACCCCCAATGTCGGATTTAGTTTTAACGTGTTAGCGGCCAAGCAAAGGGGCAGTGAAACCGCAGCCCAGCAACTTAATCAGGCTAAAAAAGAAACAACATTTAAAAACACGCAAACAAAACAAAATTAAATAAAAGTTACACCCATCAGCACAAATAAAATCAATTCTAGCCACTAAAAGTAAACACAATTAACTGCACACTAACTAAACAATGAAACCACGCACGCCGTTCACAAAGCTGTAACCAGCAGCTGCGTGGTAGTGCGGGGCGCCTGGACCGCCGACTGACCTGGGGGAGCCACCATACGCTGCCACTTCTGGAACAGGGTGGTCTTCAGGCAGTCACGCGGGCTGAGCGAGAAGGCCTTCTGGCGCGTCATGAGCTCCTGCATCGGCTCCAGAATGACGCACAGCTGCCGGAGGAGGCGGGGAAGGGTCAGCCGGCGACGCACAGACATAGACAGCTGCCGGAGGCGGGGAGTGGTCAGCCGGCGGGGTCTACGCATAGACATAGACAGTTGTCCAAACTGCGACTGCAGAGCACGTCAGCAGACCCAGGAGAGGGAACGGCAGCGACGATAAAAAAGACATGCCAGTCCCTCGGACAAGGGAGCATCGTTTGACTTGTGAAAGGCAGACGTGTAGTCGAGGCGATAAATGCACATTTTTTTATTTCACATTACCACAGGGTACATTTCGATGACACACTAGACACTACCACCCGTCAGTGTTTTGGTTTTGCAGACGATAATCAATCGCCTGGAAGCAAAACAGACGATACTACCAAAAAAGGTCGTTTCAGCAGCTAATAAGCT